GTACTGACGGGGGCTGATGAATAATCTAACATAAGTGGGTGGGTTAGGCCCTGTGGAGGTTCTACTGTACTGACGGGGGCTGATGAATACAGTATTTTCCGCACTATAAGGCGCACCTAAAAAACTCAAATTATCTCAAAAGCCGACAGTGCGCCTTGTATTCCAGTGCGCCTCTACTGTAGCGTCTATTGTATGCATCTTATAATGCGGTGCGCCTTATTTATGGACAACGTTTTAAAATAGGTCGTTCATTGAATGTGCGCCTTATAGTGCGGAAAATACTGTAATCTAACATAAATGGACCGGTTAGACCCTGTGGAGGTTCTGCTGTACTGACGTGGGCTGATGTAGGTGGCGGCCTCTCTCCGGGTCAGTGGCAGCACCGAGGCTCCGCCCCCCTCCGCCGCCCGCCGGTCCAGATCCTCGAACAGGGCGTTGACGTAGACGTTATCGAAGTCCAGATCGTTCAGATAGCGGTGTCTGTACCGGGCCGCCCTGCAAACACAGGCCTCAGGAAAGCTGCTCAAAGAAGTAGTTTCACTTTCAACTACTCTCTTTTCAAAAAACAAACGATATTCATGTTTTTGTGGTTTTGGATTAAAATCGTCTAAATGCATAAACATAAATGAGTTCAAATGAATCCATTGATTTTCCAACTCTGGTTTTGCTGCATTTTTACTGCAGAAAACAGTAAAAAGCTAAACGTTCTTCATGTTTTGAAGGTGAAAAGCAGCAACCGGAACATGAAGGAACATGAATGTTCAGCTAAACGAGGAACCAAACTGGGGCATGTTCAGTTTTTTTACGCAAATTGAGACCAAAAAAACAACAGTTTATCGATAATATACCCACCCAGTGCATTGAAAAACAGATTCAATCTTTTAAACAATGAACACCTGAAGCAAAGACACTAGGGATGTCCCCATCCAGCTTTTTTCCCCTCCGATCCGATCCCGGTCTATCAGAGCATGTGTTAAAGTCTAAAGTTATTTATCTACTTACTTAGTTGTCAGACTCATGTTGAACAGGGATTTACTCTGATAACAACTTAATGGTTAGGACACAGACCTGTGGTTACAGATGCTAATGCTAATGCTCTGATAACAACTTAATGGTTAGGACACAGACCTGTGGGTTCCAGATGCTAATGCTAATGCTCTGGAGTGAAACCGAAACCCAAATTTTTTTGCAAATATCGGCGGCTGATTGTATCCAGATATCGGACCAGGACCAGCCGAAAAGACACTAATTTTTCTGTGTGATTGACACATGAAAGCGGCTTGTTTTGGCGAGTGCGTGGGCGGTGAGGGTTACAGATGCTAATGCTAAAGCTCGTGTGGGATCAGACTTTGACTCTTGAGTGAAACCGAAACGCATTTTTTTTAAATTATCGGATCCAGATATCGGATCGGAACCGGCCTAAAATACACCAATTTTTCAGTGTGATTGACACATGAAAGGCGCTTCGTTCGGGGCCATTTTTGGCGAGTGTGTGGGCGGTAGGGATGGGAGGGTTTCTGAAAACCGTCTGAAACGTTGGGTTCTGTCTCGGTTCGATTCGCGTGTGTTGCGTTCGGTTCCTGCTGCTCTTTTTTCTCAGAGGGAAGCGTTTACACTCCAGAGCAGAAGGGGGCGCTACTGCGCCCAAAGCCAACCACCAGTAGGAAACCAGAAGAAGAAGAAGCAGCGTAGCCCATAAAAATCAGACCCAGCAGCAGTTTCTAGGTCTGCTGTATGGACCAGTTTGCATTTAGAGGGAAGCACATGTTGGAATTAGCTCTGTTTCCTCTCTGGCAGAATCTCACCTACTTTAACCTCAGACTGTCACAGTAATGGATCAAATGTCAGACTGCTTTTTTCTTTCAGTTTTAACCCGACTATACAAGACACAATAGATTTTCCTAACAATCAACATATACCGAACCCAACCCAAAACCGTGACCACGAAACCGTGAACCGAACCGAACCGTGGGTTTTGTGAACCGTCCCACCCCTAGTGGGCGGTGAGTGTGCGGACCTGAGGAAGGACTCTGATAACCTAATGGTTAGGACACAGACCTGTGGGTTACAGATGCTAATGCTGGGTTTCAGATGCTAATGCTAATGCTCGTGTGGGATCGGGCTTTGAGTCTGGAGTGAAACCGAAACGCATTTTTTTGCAAATATCGGATCCAGATATCGGGCTAATGCTAATGTGGGATCGGACTTTGACTCTTGAGTGAAACCGAAACGCAGTTTTTTGCAAATATCGGATCCAGATAATCGGATCGGAACCGGCCTAAAATACACCAATTTTTCCGTGAGATTGACACATGAAAGGCGCTTCCTAGTTTTTGTGTGTGCGTGTAACATAGTTAAAATGGTTCAGGATAAATCCTGCTAAAATGCACCATCTGCTGGTTTA